TTCCCTTTTAGCCATCTCTCATAAAGCTGACCTTCAAGAGCAAATCAGACAAGGGAAAGGAGTGCAATCGATTCCACATTTCATTCACACACACACGTTTGCACGTGCATTAATCAAAAACCAAGTGAGTTTATATGTGCACAAATAGCCCCCATGGTGCATGCCATCATTCATTTGGCACACATGCATAATCAAAATCAAAAATTTGCATGCGTGTTGCCCTTTACTCCTCCTCATTCGCATGCATGCTTCACACACACCAAAAACACGGAGAGGACAAAGCCGTGTGAAAGGACGCGGTGACGTCAGAGGCAAACCGATTGGCTGCTTCGCTCGGTAAACAGGAGCGATGGTGCGAGCGCTCTTTGTCGTGATGCGCACGCAGCATCTCAAACACAAACAGCATCACAAGCCCGCTCCTTATTGACCGGGCTCCTGTGCAACGTGATGTTTGAAGTCTCCCTTAATGCTAATTATGTATTTCAGGGCTCGCCTTGTTCTCGAGTCTATAAAGCGGGTTTGTGTGATCATCTGACAACACAAGCTGTGATCTCGCCTCGGCCAGCCTAACAATCTGAAGGCGTCTGTGTTGTTTTTCAAAGTGATACCACAGTTGATGACAATAAAACTAATTAAGGAACAAACTCTCCGTGTGTGTGAGCATCGTGTTCTGTAATTAACGGCCAACGTGTGAAGACGTGCGAAGAACCATGAGAATTTGTAACAGAGACTATTTTTAGCCCCCACTCTTCCTCTTCAAGCCTGCCTTTTTTTGTTGTTGTTTCTGGTCCCGCTCCGTGCCTCATGTTTCCTTTCCTACCCCCCATCACAGGAGCTGGGGCTGTGGCCTTGAACTCTGACCCGCCTGTAATCAGTCATATCCCTGGGCCCTTCCCTCCTCTTAAGCAACAGACAGCTCGTCTCCCCTCCTCTCCTCCTTCTGCACCTCTTCCTCCTGTTCTCTTTGTCCCCAAATTCCCGCCCCCCTCCTTTCACTCTTGCTCCATCCAGAATGGCCCTGCTGCCTTTTGATGGGTTGTTGCTCAGAAACAATGGAGAGTAAACATAGACTTAGCAGCTGAACAACAGACCCCCCAAACCCCACAGTCAGCCATCCCCCTGGCCCGCAGCCTCATCCGTCAGTCTGTGAAATGACCTCGAACTGATGAGTAAATGATGGTGTCGACTTGTCAGGACGGGACTCAAAACAAGCAAACAGACAGAATTCAAGCCTACACCACCCAAGTCTTTTCTTCTCCGTCACCCAGACTTTCTTTTGTCCCTTGCACATTGTTTGCAGCTACGGTCTGATTAATGCACGTCACAAAATTTATTCTAATACTGACTGAAAACAAAGAAACAACGTGGTTCCTTGTGCTTCATTTCAAGACAAATGTGAGGCTTCAATTTTAAAAGAACAATTTTCAAAGAAAATAAATACGTCTAAACTTGGGACAGAAATTTTTGTATTATTTTGTGAAAAATCAAGAGATTGCTTGTACTTTTTCTTTGTTTCAGTTGTACATGTATGCCATCGGCTAACGACATTATAAACACATAATGCTCTGACAGCTTGTCTCTGATTTAAGGTGACACTTCTTTCTAACAGCTGAGGCCTTTTCCTCCATTTCAAATGGAAACTCCTCCCTTGCTGCTTGTCAACACATCCAGTGTCCATTCTTCCCAGCCTTTCTTGGACTTGGTTTTGCAGTAAAAGTTCTTGTCAGGCTACATTTTTCATCTGTCTTCCTCCACAGTGTTGCATGCAATGCAAAACAGTCTTCCACTGGTTTCAAGTTTCTTTATTGTCATTCGTGTAACACGTCAGGAAACTGACTTGTACAGATTTTTGCAGAAATGTTTAATAGCAAATGTCTGAGTTTGATACATGTTTGCTAGCTGTGGCTGAGAGGTTAGAACAGTTGTCCTCCAATGGGAAAGTTGGGGGTTCGATTCCACCCACAGTCACATGCTGAAGTGTCCCTGGGCAAGACACTGAACCCCTCATTGCCTCCGATGTGTGTCCCATCAGTGTATGAATGTGATGAAGCTCTGATTATTATTAGTAAAGATACAATGGAGTGCTGTATGAATGAGGCACAGATTGTTGTAAAGAGCTTTGAGTATCTTGATAAAATAGCGAAGTGCTATATAAGTGCAGTCCATTTACCATTTCTTGGATATTTGGTCAAAACTGCAAGTCTGAGCAAAATTTATGGGGATTAAATTCAATTATTAATAATTGAGATTGCAGCTGGATAATGTACATATAGTTCAGTGTTTCCTGTGCTTTTGTGTTTTTTGACACAAAAATGTCAGTTTTCCTTCTTCATTTTGGAAACAATGTTGTGACGGCACCTGTGGGGTTTCAAAGCTTCACTGCAGCATGATCAAACCATTCGTCTCTGACTTGTCTTTTGGCGTGTGCCCACAAAGTGTTTGAGTGTTACTGTACCTTGTTAAACAAGCAAAAATGTGAAATTTCCCTGCCCTTCCCTTCACACACTCGGGGGCCCATCCAGTCTCGGTGGCACCAAGTAGTGCTTCCTCAGGGGCCTCCTTCCTGAATCTGTGGCGTCTGGTTGTGCTGCCTCCCTGCAAACACTTCATCCATCTCAGCTATAAAAGGCTGTCACAAATGTGATGGTTGATTGGCGAGCTGAGGGCGGGTATGCTGCCACCTCAGGGGTCAGGGGTGAAATTGGCTCGGAAGAGGAGAAATACAGAGGGCCTCCCTGACCTGATAACTATCCAGATTGAATCCACCTGGCAGTCTGAACAGAATAAGTCATCCACCTTGCAGACTATAATGAAAACATACATAACTGTATCCGGACACATCAATTTTTAAAAAGAACTGGGATGATTTACTTCTCCATCTTACCTGCTGATTTCCAAACTAGTCGCAGCTGATGCAGGTGAGATCAGTACATCTGAGACCCGAGATCTCAGTTTCCTCACTCCCCATTTTCCAGGCCTTCGATGGGTTAAAATTGAACCCTTCAGGCTGACATGCTGTTCTTTCAATAAATTGCTTGCCTTCCCTCAATAGACTGTGGTGGCATATTGATAAATTTTGATTTAACACACAGAAAATGTGCCCTGTCTGTCAAAGAGAGATGGCATTTGGTGTGGCAGGCTCTAACAGAGAGCAAGTTTCACATCAGGGACATACACACTGTTGTACAGCTAACTTTTACTTAAGAAGCACAAACAGAAATCAGTTGTTATCCCAAAATAATGTGATTTATTTCTTAATATGTCAAAGCTAAAGGGTCTTAACACCATCTTGGGCTCAACAAATTCCTACATTTCTAAATACCTAATTTTTTTCTAAATTCCCAATTCCTGGCCACCGATTCCTACTCTCTTTCTGGCCAGTGTCCACTCACTGGATAACAAAGTGGACTTGTTACATCTGAGGATGAGTGTTTCTACAGAGATGAAGAACTGTGCTGTTCTTTGCCTAATGGAAACCTGGCTTAACAACAACATGCCAGACTCAGCTTTCCAGATCAACGGTCTCCAGTTATTCCGAGCGAACCGTGACCATCGGTCAGGATAATCACGGGGGGAGGACTCTGTACATTCGTGAATGAAGATTGGTGTACGAACTGTGGGCTGGTACAAAGCTAATGCCTTGAGGCGATAGAACTTGTTACTGTGAAATGTCGGCCGTACTATCTGCCACGGGAGTTTACTGCAGTGTTGGTCACAATTGTTTACATCCCGCTGGGTGCTAATGCTAACGAAGCATCAAAGGAGCTGTATGACACCATTAGCTCACTGCACATAAAGCACCGGGAGGTGTTTTACATGGTTGCGGGGATCTTTAACCACATGAAACTGACGGACACTCTGCCCAATTTTTACCTGCATGTCAACTTTCCTATGCGGGGAGACAACACTCTGGACTGTATGTATACTAACATTTGTGGTGCATATAGAGCTCTTCCTCGCCCCATCTTCGCCCCCATCTTGCCCCCATCATCTGACCACATCTCAATCCTGCTGGTGCCAGCATATCATCTGCTGATGAGATGGATTAGGCCAACAATAGAGATAGATAGAGAACTTTACTAATTGGCTTTTATGTATGTGAATGTTCCTGTAAAGTGCCCTGAGACAACTTTGTTGTGATTTGGCGCTATATAAATAAACTGAATTGAATTGAACAAAGAAGACAGTCACTGTGTGGCCCAGGGATGTAGCCTCTGTGCTACAGGACTGTTTTCAGTGCACAGATTGGCAGGTCTTCAGAGAGGTGGCTACATATGAAGTTGAGGTGGACCTGGAGGAATACACCTCCTCTGTTCTTGGCTTCATATCCAAGTGTGCTGATGATGCCATCACCACCAGGACAGTAACCCGTTATCTGAATCAGAAACTCTGGCTGAATGCTGAGGTGAGAGCTCTGCTGAAAGCTAGGGATGCTGCGTTCAGGACAGGTGAGGCAATCAACACTCCGAGAGATGAGGAAAGACTAACTGCAGGGATTGCAAGGGCCAAAGCCACATACACCCTGAAAATTCAGGGTCACTTCATCACCAACAACCCTCAGCACATGTGGAAGGGCATCAAGTGCATTACAAACTACAACATCAGGGATGCACAGTGCCCAAAGGACCCCTCATTACCAGATGCACTCAATAAGTCATATGCTCTCTTTGAGGACCGTAACACCCCCACCCACCCACTCCAGCACCAGATTTATATCACCACCCAGTGACTTGCCCCTCTCTGTGACCACAGCAGGTGTGAGGAAGACTCTCCATGGAATCAACCCCTGTAAGGCTGCAGGCCCCAACAGCATCCCAGGGTGGGTACTGAAGGACTGTGCACACCAGCTGTCTGAGGTGATGACGGATATCTTCAACACCTCACTGTCAATGGCATTTGTCCCCACCTGCTTTAGGTCTGCCACTATTGTCTCTGTACCCAAGTGCTCCACAGTGACAGGCCTGAATGATTACTGACCTATAGCCTTAACATCGGTAGTCATGAAGTGCTTCGAGTGGCTGGTCATGACCCACATGAAGGACTCCATCGACGTCACTGTGGACCCACATCAGTACGCCTACAGAAGGAACCGCTCCACTGCTGATGCCATCACATCGGTGGTCCACACAGCCCTCACCCACCTGCAGAGCAGAACTTCTTACATCCGTCTGCTCTTTCTGGATTTCACCTGGGCCTTCAACACAATCATCCCATAGACCCTGGTGCAGAAGCTCTTCTTTCTTGGACTGAGTCCCACACTGGGGAACTGGATTGTGGAATTCCTGACGAACAGACCTCAGACTGTCAGGATCCACATCATCATCTCCTCCTCCATCATCCTCAGCAGTGGCTCGCCCCAGGGCTGTGTGCTGAGCACCCTCCTGTTCACTCTGCTGACATATGACTGCTTGGCTAGACACCCCAGCTGCAATATAGTGACATTTGTGGACGACACAGCAGTCGTGGGACGCATCATGAACAGCGATGAGTCCAAATACAGATATAATGTGTGTGTGTGTGTGTGTGTGTATGTGTGTGTGTGTGTGTGTGTGTGTGTGTATATGTGTGTGTGTGTGTGTGTGTGTTTATATATATATATTATATATGTATATATATATATATATATATATATATATATATATATATATATATAT